CCTTAAAAAAGCTCCTTGGGAGGCCAGGACTGCCAGTGCAGGGCACAGACTGTGTTTGGATGTAGCAGGGGTGCAGAGGCTGAGCCTTGGTGCTGGACAATTCATGTGGGGATTCCTCTGGTAGCTGAGATGAAGCTGGGAATGCTTCTTCTGCCTTGATCACGCACAGTTAGCCTGACTTGCTTTGCAGCGTGTTGTTAATGCTGCCATTGCTTTATAAAATTCATAAGTACACGTGGTGTGCTGGTTTTGTAGTTCTGATTTTTCATTTCTCAAAGCAGAATGGAGGTGATGGTCATGCAAACATGAATTCTTGCTGATGTTGTCATCTGAGATTGCCAGAAGTGCTCTGTGAAATACCTTTTGTTTGCTTCTTGTGGTTTCTTGTCCGGGGGCAGACAAACACCTCAGTGTAGGATGTGAACTGTAAAACTACCAGGAACTGCAGGGAGAGCAAAATCCTCTGGAAACTCTTGAGAGAAATGAGGGAGCTGCTGCACCTGTGGCTGACAGACAGCATTGCCAGATCTCTTAGGGGCAAAAAATAGTTTCTCTCAAGGTAGGGAGGTGTTGGGGTTTTCTGCTTTACTTCTGTGCAGTTGCTGCTTCTGGAATGTTACTCTGCCTTCAAACAAGGACTGAAAGGGGAGTCCTGAGTGACAGAGCTTTCTCCTGTGGCTCTCAGAGCTACCTGGTAGCCCTGGCCCAGTCAGCAGGTTCTGGGCCCTGTGCTCGGGGCAGAGGCTGTGGGCACGTTCTGGTGAGGAGTTCTGCCTGCAACTCCCACAACTTGATTTTTAGGCAGACAAAACTGTGGCATCATCTGCTTCAAAAGAAAGAATCGCAGTGAAACTAAGAACATGATGGTTTCTTTGATCTCTCAGCTTTGGATGTTATCCAGTTTATCCTTTAGAAGCTGTATTTATCCAGAGGGCTGGAATGACTGCGTATCTGATGAAAGCTTTTGTAGTTCCTGGCTAAAGTGTCTTTTCTGGTGCTTTCATGCAGTGCTCCCAACCTTCACAGGTGATGCTTGGTAAAGAAGCTGGAACGTTCAGTCTAAAGCAGATTTCAGTATTTGTATCTGCAGTTTGTTACATGTGTAATTAAACCCCTAGAAATTAAAGATGGGGAGACTGAATTAAAAAATGCGTGCAAAGCAACAGCCCACCCGTTGGCACTGGGATGTGTTACAATGGGTTGACCAGGATGGAAGTGAGGGATGTAGAAGCACTTAGAGGAGAAGTTGATTGGTTTGTGTATCAGTGAGCAGTATTTCTGTTTGCAGTAGGTGTCTGTTGGAATGATTGGTTTTTATTTATGGGGAAAAAAGTGCATAGAGAGGAAGAGACTTCAGAGATACACGATTCATTTCTTGTAGCATGCTTGAGACCACAAGTACACCGTGATGTGCCAAGCAGCAGCTGGCTGTAGTTGTGTCCTACTGCCTGAGTGTGGAGACCCTGCTCTGAGACCATGGAAGAGCATTTAATCTTTGATATTCTGTGGAGAAATCCATGAGTTGCACAGAAACAGGCAGTTCCACCTCATCCGTTTCTTTCCTGCAAGTATTCTGTCAGATTTTAATCTGATGTTACATAGATAATCTGCTCTTAGCTTTATTAATCTATTCAGTTGTGGAGGATTTGTAATGCTGATAGTATTTTAGATTGGGATCAGGATGCCATGCAGTTCGTGACACAGCTAGGAGCAGCCTTGCCAGTTGTGACAGATTCTCTGCACTTCTGATTATTAGGAATAATTGCTGTGGCTGTGTTGGATGCTGTGGGTTCAGTTTAACTGTTTGACTTCAGCCCAAGCACGAGCTCTGGCAACTTGTACCCTCGAGGTGAAGTTTTCCTCGCTCTGTTGCTTCCCCAGTTCAGCTTACATGCACTGAGCTGAGGTGCAGCGCTGCTGGTGGCCGTAATGCTTGGCTGCAGGGATCACCACCAGGTGTGGGGCCACACTCGAATACGCCGTGCCTGTCCTCTGATGTCGCTGTTCTGGCTTACAGGTCTGGAGGGTGAACGCCCTGCACGTCTGACTCGGGGAGAAGCCGACAGGGACACGTACAGGCGCAGCGCTGTTCCACGTGAGTCTCGCTGCTGCGCGTCAGGCTGAGCTCTCGCTCTTTGGGAAAACTGTCTTCAGCATTTACCTCCTTTTGAAAAGGAAATGGGGAAATGAGGCTGTTGGCACAGCGTAGGCATTTACACAGCAGAGTTCCTTTTTAGCTGCTGTGAGTAGCATTCTTCTTTTAAATTTTGGCAAGATGTGCTGGGGGGATTCCAGGCTGGGGCCGGGCTCCCTGCAGTGGTGACCAGGGGCACAGACTGGAACGTGGGAAGTTCCATCTGAACGTGAAGAAAAGCTTTTCTTTGAGGGTGTCAGTGCCATAGAACAGTCCTCCCAGAGAGACTGGAGCCTCCTTCTCTAGAGATTTCCAAAACCCACCTGGATGCTTTGCTGTTCAACCTACTGTCAGAAACCTGCTTTAAGGGGAGGTTGGGCTGGATCCTCCTTCCAGCCCTTAGTATTCTGTCGTTCTCCACTTGGCCAGTGGATTCTTTGGTTTGTAACTCAGTCATTTCTCTCATCAGCTGGTGCTGACAAGAAGGCTGAGGCTGGTGCTGGAGCAGCCACCGAATTCCAGTTTGTAAGTATTTGTATTCAAATTGGCTTCTTGTGTTTGTGCTCTGAGGTAGAGATGCTGCACATACTGTATCTGCGGGTGTTGGGTATGGTGCTTATCAGCAACTGCTGTCCCTTACACTCAGCTGCTCTCTTATTAAGGAAACTGAAAGCCTTACTGCTGTGACAAGAAGTCAGTGACACATATGAGAAGCAAGCTCAACTTTCTAGAGGAAGTGTATTATTTTATATGACAGCAACAGAAGAGTTTGAGATGTGGCAGAGCTGGTCAAGATGGGTTCATTTTTGCATAGTGTCACTGGTCTGCTTAGGGTAGCTAGCCTCAGATCAGAGTTAAGCTATGCTTGGAGCAGGGGATATTTATTAAAGTAATGCAGTGTTGAGGGCAGATAGCTGGCCCTTCTGTCAGTGGTTTTTGCACTGTTTGTTTGCTGTTGCTTGTTTAATATGGTGACTTCTAATGCTCTTCCTTTTCTGTTGCAGAGAGGTGGATTTGGTCGTGGACGTGGTCAGCCTCCTCAGTAAACCTCCTGCTCATGTTTTGTGTATAATAAAATAGGTGAAAATGCCACTTGGGCTGCATCAGTGTTTTGTTTGTGTCATTCTAGAGCTCACATAACAGGGAGGTGACTCGGATCTTTGGCATGCACACAGCCATGGAGTAACTTGTGGTTAGAAAACAGTTTATGGGAAGGAGCTTTGTAGGTTGGTGATTACTGACACATGGTTGTGCTCGTGTGCAGAGGTGATTTATGGGGGGAATGAGGAGCTCTTGGCAGCTCAGAAGTGCTGTGGGCAGCTTTTCTGCTCTGCCTGGGAACACGCTCATTTCTGATCATGCAGTAAAGCTGTGTAGAGTGAGTTTTTATTTGTAAACAGAAAATGGAGCAAGTCACCTGTGTTGTGAATTGCACATAATCTATGCAGGCAGGTCAGCATTTCCTGTGTTAGGAATTCTGAATTCACTGGGTTGATCAACTGGATTAAGAAAGGAGGGTTGTGGCAGCATCTGCTGTCTGGAGCTGAGCAGAAGTGAGAGAGGGAGGAGTGCAGGCCGGGGCTACACTGCAGCATGCAGCCTGCCAGCAGGTGTCACCCGCAGACTAATAATGGCATGGTGCTAATTGGTAAGGGTTTTCTGTTGCTTGATAGATACTTCTTTCTAGAAAAGCCTTAGGATCAAGAATACAGAAACACAGAACCCAGTGTGAAAGGAGGTACTTACAATCCTCATGTAGGGATGGAGCAAACTGTAGGCACGTGAATTTTCTTAAGATCTGATATCTGAGGGACTTAGAGCTGCAGGGAGAGACAGGCTGCCTCAAATGTTCATTTTAATCAAGCACTCCATCTGCCACCTGTCAAGTTTGTGCACCTCGATGGAGCTGAACCTAATGGCGACTAAACTGCTGAGTCCCACACGACTGGATTTAGCCGGGACACACAGCCTACAGCTCTTAATGCAGATGTGCATTAAAGCAGCTCTTTTTTTCCAGCTGTGCAATGCACTGCCCAGATCCAACGGGGCTCTGAAATCTCCGCCTGCTTTCCTGTAATGTTTATACATATTTCTACGCGGGAGCTCCAAGTGAGCAGGGCAGGGGGAAAGCAGGTCCCAGCCCAGCCTGACTGCGGCCCTGAGGGCCGTTTTACCACCCCAAACCCCTCGGGTTGAGGCCGAGCCCAGGGCGACCTCATTGGGCCCCATCCCCCGGCCCGCCCCGCCGCCCGCCCCTTTGTTCTGCGCCCCCCGACCGCGCTCCGCCACTGGCGTAAGCCGTCCTTGCGCAAGTCGCGCGTTCTTCCACGCCCGGCGTCTGCGCGCTTTGCGTAGAGCCGCTGTCAAAGCGGAGCCATGTGCGCTGGGCGCCGGCTCTGCCTCCCCGCCTTTTGCGTAGCTGTCAGGGCGCCCCGGCACGCAGCCCCCACCGTATTCTTGAAGGCTCTGCGCCGCGCCGGCGTCGGGCGGAGGCGTGGTGGCGGCGTCCGAGTCTGCCGCGGGGAGGGGGGTAGCGATTCTGGAAGCTGGACTGCGCCGTCTGCGTGGCGGGAGCGCCGTGCAGCCTCAAGGAGCGGCCGCCCCCTCCCCCGCCCGGCGGCTTTACGCCGTTTGCGTAGCGTGCCCCAAGATGGCGTCGCGGTCGTCGTCGGCGGCGGTGGCCGGAGCGCCGGCAGTGGCGGCGGAGCGGCTGGAAGTGAAGGGAGGGATGAGGCGGGCGAAAGGCGGCAGCGCGTAGCGGGCGGCTCCCGGCCTGCGGGACACAGAGACCGACAGAGAAAGAGACTCGCGGGGAGGCGGGTCCCCCTCCGTCCCCCCCGTCCTTCCCCGCCCGCCCCTCGCGGGAGCCCCGGCGGCTCCTTCCCCGCCCGCCCCCGCCGCCTCTCCAGGCCTCGCCGTCCCTGGGGCCGCCCCTTGGGAACGGAGGATGATGAAGCTCAAGTCCAACCAGACGCGCACCTACGACGGGGATGGCTACAAGAAACGGGCGGCCTGTCTGTGCTTCCGCAGCGAGAGCGAGGAGGAGGTGAGGGCCGGGCCGGGCTGCGGGCGGCTGCTGCCCTGCGTTGCCCGTCCCGTGCGCATCGCTGTGCGGGTGCGTTCGTTTAACGCTGGGAAAGTTGGGGCTCTCCTTCCCTTCCCTCCCCCCCCCCTCTTTTGTTTTTTTTTTTCCTTTTTTTTTTTTTTTTTTTTCTTTTTTTTTTTTTTCTCCTTTATCTCTTTGCTGAGGGATGGTGGAGCGGCTCGCTGAGCTGCGCCGGGCTTTGGCAGTGGTTTGGAGCAAACCAGGCTGGCAGAACTTCAATCCAGAGCATCACATGAGATGGGAGAGGAAACCTGACCTTGGGTTTATAAAAAGAAACGGGGATAAAAGGGGACTGATGGAGTGCCAGGAGCTGCTGTCCAGAGAGGCTGGGGAGGAAGTGGGAATTAAAGGTAAATTGGGTGCTCTGAGAATGGCAGTGCTGCCAAGGGCTCGGATTGTAGCTGATGTTGGAAAGAGGAACTTTGCTCAGATGTGGATTTTTTTCACTGTTTTCTCTTTTAATGTGCCTTTTAATATGCACAAACGAGGCTGCAGGTCTTCCTTGCTTATTAGGGAGTCAGGCGCACCTCACTTCATTGACTGGCTCCTGAGTGGCTGTTCTGAAGGCTTTGTTCTCCTGATTATCATATTTGTAGCTACAGGAAATCGGAAGGGAATGCAGACAGTTTGCTGGAGGAAAGTCAATTAGCATACTGTGCAGTTATTATTTAACGTGGTGGTGGAGGCTTAGCAAAGCCTTTGTAGTTGCACTGTCACGGTGAAGAGTGTCAGCATCTCAAGCGTGAATGATCTGAAATAAATGTAACAGAAACTTGTTGCAGCTGAGCCTTCCCACCGACTTTCAGGAAATTTATGATCCTCTGAGATAACTATGAAGAAGACTGTAATCACATTGTGTAATGATGCTGGGGCTTATCAGCTTGCCTGGTTGAAGGCACCTGAATTTCCTGATGCAACTTTACCCAGCTGGGGAGGCAGTTCTCCTTAAGAACCAGTTGTTAGGCCACGTTAGGCACGGAAAACTGTGTATATTGGGGCAGTGTGGGTTCTCACCTGAGTGCTGTTTGCTCCTTTTAGTTTTGTCCTTCTTAGCATTTGTCCTCGTGAGTGCTCACACCGGAGAAATCAGGTGTGCTGCACTGGTCTGTGACATGAAGGCACACTAATTGCTTTGTTAATGATGCAGTGTGGGATGTAGATTGATTTCCTCAAGCGTGCGCACGTAGGTGCTTCGTTGTGAGCCACAGAAAGGGCAAATTAATGAACTATGGTTTTGTTTTATTTTGAATTGGTCTCCCGAGGACCTCACGCAGTCTTTCAAGCAGTGGATTTATTGATGATATCTGTGTGTTTAATGGAGAGCTGGAACTGCGTCGTGCCTTCCCATCTATGGCGTTCCTACCGTGCGGAGTCATTCAACAGATTCGTTTAGGAAAGCTGTTATCAAATATTGATTGATTACTTTCATTGAAGTGGGAATTAAGATCTCTTTAAAGGGTCTCTCTGGGCAGGGAGAAAAAGAACGGAGCCAAAGTATGTTGGTAAAGATCTATTTAAAGTTTACTGTTGAAAAACGAAGGCCAAAGGCAAGCTTTGATAAAGGAGCATGCTGTACCAAAGCATTGTTTGTTTCTGCTTCTGGTTACGGCTTCTTTTAAGGGCTTAAGAAACAGTAGCTGCTCTCTATCCCAGCTTTCCTTCACTTCCCACTATGAGTTTAAAGAAACTGCTTTGGAGTTCCTGATTAGTTCACCATTCGAACAGTCAGTGAGCAAGAAGTAGGAGAAATTCTGCTTTCCCTTACTGAGCAGACCAGCCTGATTTTTTGGGTTTACCAGTCTGTTACCCAGCAGTAAATGGGGATTGTAGAACAGAGCATCTTTGGCTGGGCGTTGCACTCGCGCATGGAGGCTTAGCATAACCATTCTTCTTGCTTCTTTAGTTGAAGTGATTTATTTTTTCCTTACGCTGCTTGAGGTTGCACATTTTCTCTGTATTGTGTTTGGAATCTACCACTTCTGGACATGAGAGAAGCCAAGGAATGCCTTTGGAAGCACGAAGAGATGCCTTTGTCACACAGCTCTTTAAAAAGCTGCAAAGGGAGAATTGGTTTAAGCACGAATCTCAAACGGAGTGAAAATACATTTCTTAATTGGACTGCGTGGAAAGTCTGTTTCTGTGTTGTTTCACAAGCAGCAAAGCACTGCAGAGGGCAGGAGGGAGATCAAGAGAACCAATGGCATTAATTCTAAGAGTGTGAACAGACTTCAAAGGACCTTTCAGCCACCCAGCGCTGGCACTCTGCTGTTCTCATCTTTTCACATGGAGTAAAATCCCTGGATATTTTGCTGGTTCAGTGTAAGCAGAGAAGGAGAGAACCCAGATCAAGAGAGCCCGAGTCTCGTGTTACCTCCAAAATCCTTCCTTATTGCCACTGTTGGTGTGTCTCAGTATTGCTGTTGTGTTATTCTTAAACAGTACAAGCTTTTTGTGTGCGTGTAGCCAGCTGTTTGAATGAGAAAAGGTTCCAGAACATGTCAGCAACCTCTCAGCATCACAGAGCAGATGGAAGCCTGCTTAATGGCAGCATCCCTGTTAGATTTTAACAGAAATAAAAAGCAACTGTTTGGCTTTAAGTCCCGCGGTGGCGTAGCTACAGGTTTAAGCATGCCTGCATTGTATCTGGTGAAAGGACAAGCAGCTCATTAACAACTGGTATTCTTTAAAGCCGTTTGGAGGAAATGCTTCAGGAAGAATAGCACCCGGGATCGGCCTGGTCTTTTTTAATTGCGAATGGAGGCTAAATTAAGGTGAGAAAACAGCACTTTCACACGGCGGCTGGTAGGAGCTCTGGCTCTGTCGTTCTGTGTGTGCCAAGCCAGCGCTGTCACCAAAAGCCACGTTCAGGAGCCCCACGAGGCCTCAGTTGGGGAAAGCAGTTTGAATGCAAACTGACCGCTCTCTTCTTGCCTCTCCTGGGTCGCTTTGGAATGAAACTGGGGTGTAGTACAGCAGTTTCCAAATGTGAGCTGTAGACTCTTGATGATCACACAGTGTTCCTACGCCGTCCTTTGTGCGTTTGCTTCAATATAAAAATATTATTAGCTGGAACCACTTGGAGCACTTTGCTGCCTGGAAGTAAAGGGAGCTCGGCATCATATGATCGTAGTGCTGTGTGTGGAATAGAGTCTGAGTCCTTGTTCCAGTGGCTCGGGTTAACTCTTGACATTCCCTTCAGCTACAGAAAAGGTTTGTGGTTGAAACCAAATAAAGTTCTCCCTGCCTGCTGCTGACACATCACCACATCACCAGTGGGAGACAGGCCAGTTCCAAAGTGGCCTGTTTGTGCTTCTGCCCTCTCTGCCGTGCTTGTAACCAGTTTTCTCCAAAAGCAGGGGGTATTCTTACACCAAACCGAGCTTTTATCTAAGAAGTGCCTTTTTGTAATGGAAGCCTGTGTAAGCAGTTCCATGGTCTCTTGTACTTTCCCAAACTACAGCAGGATGAAAATGGTTGCATTTTCACTTATTTCGCTGGAAGCTCCATAAACTGTTGGGTAACTGAAAAACTGCTTCAGTTTTTATTCCCCTGCAACTCGAGGAAAGGGCTGCAGCAACTCAGAGGCACACAGGGAAGAGTCCTTCCAACCCCTGCGCTTGTACCCGAGAGCAGTGATGGCTGTGACTTCTCTTTGTAACAGCTCTGCATACGCTCTTTTATCTCAGTGTTTAATGTCAGATCAGAGTTTTTACCTGCATTTCTTGCCTTTCTCCCCTTGCTCTCCATGTGCTGTCACTGCCGAGGGCATTGCCAGGCTGTGGTCTCCTGCAGACGGGGCAGAAGCCACTCTTTTCTTCCCCTTCTCAGGGTTTTATCATTGTGGGTTGGTTTTTTGTTTTGTTAACTACAGTAAATCACCTTTGTGATTTCTCCAGGAGAAACTGAGGCAGATCAAAGTTAGGGAACTCACAGTTCTGTGTAACAAATAGTGAACTTCAGCATTCAAAGGCCATCTGTAATATCCAGTAATTGTGACTCAGGCGCTCAGTTTCCTTAAGCAGCGTCTGTTCTTCAGCTGGGAGCCTGGCTGCAGGGACCAGCCCAGGCTCTTTCAAATGTTGTGAGTACCATAGTTTGTGTCCCTGTAGCTGTGCAGTGGATAATGCATGCCACCCCTTTGTCCTCAGAAATTTCAGGTTAACATGTAAAATCCAGAGGGATGCAGCTACCTACTAGGGAGGTTTTCACTTTCTTTTAAGATGCTTCAGGTGGTTCAAATGTTGTTTTCATCCTTATTGACTGGGATGGCTACTCCATCTTGTGTAACAAGGTTTACGTTACAGGTAGAAGGAAATACTGGTATATGAAAAGCTTCTCAAGCGTTTTCATGGCCCTGAGATACTGACATGCTTTATTTTATGAATAGAACTTGTTAAATAAAACAGTGAAGTGTGTGTAAATGCAGCTGCTGACATGCAGAGCCACTCAGGGCATGATTTAGGGGCATGATTTAGCAGAAGGTTGTTAGTTAGGGTGGTATGCTTAGATCGTGGTTAGACTCGATGATCTTTAAGGTCTTTTCCAACCTGAGCGATTCTGTGATTCAGCCTGTGTGAAAAAGACCAAACTCTTCATTTCCCTTTGCTACAAAGGCAGTTCCAAAGCCAGCAGAAGGAGTCTTTGGAGAGTTGTACAAGCACCGTGTGGTCAGCACGTGGGCTTTGCCAGGCCAACCGAGGCTGTCAGGTGTAGGCTCTTTGGGAGTGCCTTGTTATCAGTGCTTTGCTTCTGAGGCCGTGGCTCGGCCCTTCCAGCTGCCTTCTGCCTTGCAGATAATTCCTGTGGTTATCCGAAACGCAGTCCTGCTCGTGGCTGCGTCCTTCTGTGGGAGCGAGCAGCCACTGTAAAGTTACCAGAAATGTGTAATACCAGCGATGTGAGCGGTGGTGTATGGAAGGCATGCGGTGCAGTTTGATTGA